GCTGAATTTCAGAAATCTCCGTCTGTGCCGAGACTTCTAGACAAAAAAGATTTCGTTTTTTTAGATTAAAACACCCTTGTATCTTGTAACCCATATAAGTTGCTATGAAGAGATAGGAATCACCTTTATATTCAAAAATCGCAGTTTTCAAGCACAAGCTTTGCATACAGAGATAATAACGACTATCTATACTGGGGCCAATTCTGAAATGTTTTCCTCATTTTTCACTAGCTCAGCTTGAACTGACTTCAGTGGGAGCCTGTATTCACACAGCCATTAGCCTTAAGCAGCATTACTTGGGTATTGATTGAAAGATAAAACCACTTTGCACACAATTAAAATCTAGGCAAGGAATAGCACTTGCCAAATTGGTATTTACAATTTACAGCTTCAAAATTAGGATGCCAGAGGGCTAGGGTTCAGCCTACAGCTTGCATGCCAAACAGGGAGCAGCAAGAAAACCATGACCCCAGACAGCAGGGGTATTGCTCCACTCTCCAAAACGCAAGCGAAACATGACTGCTTGCACTGGCAGCAGCGTCGCATCCCAAATCCTGCCCAGAGAGGAGGGGTCTCCTGCGCTGTCAGCCTCTGAGGATGACCCTGCTGTGTGAGACACCAGAGGGGCTTTGCCCTGCTGTTGGCCAAGCCTGACCCGGCAGCAGCCTGAGAGAGGACGCTCGCTCCCGGAGGGCTTCCCACACAGTGGTGCAGGCGTACGGGGGTTAACCAGTCACGGCTTCGCACTGAAACTGGGCACCATGCTGGGGGTAGCTGGGTGAACCATGGTGAGCCATCTCCTTTGAAAAACAGCCACTCACGCTGGCTCCACCCGAGTCAGACAGGGTTATGGGGGACAGATCTGATCATTTAGAGAGACTTGAGCTGGTTTTGTTCACTGCTCGCTCCCCTTGTCTAGGAGTGCTCCCCCATTCAGCACCAGTAGTGAGGGGATGCTGAGCGCAGCCTGTCTTCTCCCTTTGGCACCACCTGCTTATTAATCTTATTGATTAACACTTCCAGAGCATGTAATACCCAGCGCTCCCTATTCGGAGCATGCAGGCAAACTGGCCAGAGAAATGCAAATGGCTAAATGATATTAAAGGCAGTAAATTTATATGAGTGCCTGTGCACATTGTTGCCTAGAAAAAAAAATCAAAACTTCCGTTCAGGATTTATTAGCAGAGATGCAGCCGTCTGCTTCTAGCAGCTCATTCAACACGCTTTCTGCACTGCTGGGGGCTGCCACTGATACCACAGCGGCTGTCCACAGCCCCTGTGGTCTTTCTTATACAGAGATTTCAAAACCAGAGTAAGGAAAAAGACAGATCCACCCCGATCATATTTTTATTATACAGTCTCAGCATATAGGATACTTTGAGCAGATCCCTAGCTTGGAAAAGCTGATAGACATGAAACAGTGACTATTTGAAGAAGTATTTGAGATTTGGGAGATTCTGTGGATTATAAAGAAGGAGACTGTTTATGCAGCAAAAAATTGAAAATTGACCTCCTCCTCCATTGTAACTAAAATCTTGGTTTAGCCTACTAAATGAAAGGGAAACACGATTGAATAAACCAAATCCAAAGTGCGCTGAAGGTGGGCAACATTTTTAAATGCTGATGCTTTGTATCATATTGTGTGACTACTAATCTAGTTTAAAAATAGATAACATATTCTTTTTTTAGCAAGTGCACAAAACCCCGCCACAGTTTGACGCAATTGCTGTGGAAGGATTTGTGACTGTTAGCTTTCTTTTACCTAGTTGTTCTTCCAGAAATGAAGTGTCTTTTGGAGTAAATTATTTGGGCTATCGGCTGCACTTGTCTACACTTCTTCAAATCTTGTGCGATTGTTCTTTGCTTTGCTTTCTAATTTAGCGTAATTCACATCCTCCTTTAATCTGCCTTGGGCAGCTAAAAAAAAAAAAAGCTATGTTATTACTGTCATTTTTTAATAGGTATATAGAATTATTCAACTTTGAGATGTCCTAGTCCTGCCCTCCTGTACAAAATAATCTTGTCTATGGCAAAAATTAATTTAAGGAGAAACTGCATAACAACAGAACTACTATAATTATTTCCTCAATGAATTTGACATTTTTGACTCTGTTATGTTGGGAGTTGTAAGTGTTTTTATGATCTTTTTCTTTTCACCCAGAGCTCTCCAGGGAGCAAGTACAGGAGGTGCTGGATGAGCGAAGGCAACCCTGGTGAGGAGGTGCATCAGCTCGTGAGAGTACTTTCTGCTTTGTGGGACCAGGGACATTCCCCACAGTCACCTGCTGAAGCCTATTTCTCATAGGAGCAGAGCAAGGATGTCCCATTTTAAACCAGTGCCCTGATTTATAAGGGACACGCATTTCAATTGTCTGCTGCTGGCAGATGCCCATGCGTCAGGGAGCCTACAGTGTTCCTCTCACCGACTAGGAACTAGACCAACCAGACCAGATCAGCAGGGCCAGGAATCTCCTCTGCCCTCTGTGTCTAAGGGACTTAACTGTCACTGCTGCGTGCATTTTTAAAAATAAACTCCTGGCATTCCAAGGCTGAACTTTACTGTTGCAACTGCACATTGTCCAAATGTGATGTAGCTTCCGCTTGTGCAAAGCACAAGCGTGTGTGAAGCACGGCAGCTATCCGTGGACGCAATTTGCTAAAGCCAGCTTCAAAAATTGGGGCCTTTTCTGGTCTGAGTTTTCTGCTTGCTGTGGAAAATTGAGTCCTACACAGTACACTGAGGAGCAGGGGGCTGAACAGATTGCTTCCCTGCATTTTTCTGCAGAGAAGCTGGGGTGAATGCTTTATTCTTCTGCTCAGAATATTGCAAATTTCAAAGAAGGGAATCTTCCCTCTGCCTCCAAATTTCTCTTGTTCACAGCATCTCTCTTCTTTTCGTGTGCTGCAGGGCACTGGTGCCTGCCTTCCCTTGGTTCCTGCCTTTCGCCCCCTTCTCTAGCAGGTTGACAGTCATCTGCAAGTAAAGAGCAGCCAAGGAGATGGATCTGGGTAGCACAGTGCCTGCAAATTATCTTTTTTTGATGAGACAGAGAAAACTCAGAACCTTATGGTGGCACTTTTAGGCCCCTCGAGCTATTCTGATAATCACTGAAGGAAACGGGATATAGTAGTAACCGTCTGGCAAGTGCGTGAAGAGCTGCAGTAAATCTTACCATTGTGTTTCTGCAGAAAACCAATGACTTTTTCCAGCACAGTAGTTTTGTCCATTTTGCGAGTGTTGCCTGGAAGCATGGAGCTGAGCTCTTTGATGAGAACATTGAACTGATCGCGCCTCTTCTTCTCAGACTTGTTACGCGAAGCCCTGTAGACAGGTTAAAAAAGAAAAAAAAGGATGAGTAGACTAAGAGGAAAAATTGTCCTGTACCTGCTCTTTGCAGTGTATATACATAGAAATTAGCTTGCTATGTGCCTCAGCATGTGAAGATTGACGCTGGCCTCCAGCAAAGCTGCAGAGACAAGTAGAAAGTGACTGTTCCTACCATCTGCTCTTGTCTTTGGGCCCCTTTTAGAGTCCCGTGGGGAGATGGAGGCTCTGCTTGCTCCTCTGTGCTGCCTCTGGACACTCTGGTTGAGCCTATCACATCAGCATTAAGCCTGTAGGTGAACGAGCTCTGTCCATCTCCCAGGCATGTGCAGGATCTTGAAAGTTCACACAGACTCTGAGGAGGCACTCAGAGCAACAACAATACTGTGACAACAGTAAAATCATCCATAAAGGAGAAGAGTGGAGACTGGTAAAACTATGGGTCATACCCATCTGCCAGTTCTAACAGGAGAGAGGGGCCCTGGTCCTGCAGCTTAGTGATTGCAATCGAGCTGGGTCCACCTAGAGAGGCCTGCCCGCTTTGGTCACGGGTCCTCTTACTGCCTCCAAGCTGGCTTACAGAAAGGAATCAGGCTGTTGTCTTCCAGTCATTAAGTCCACGGAACCTGAGCAGAGGTTGCTGCAGCTCCCGTCTAGTTCATGTGCCACCTAGTTCAGTCTCCTTTCCAAGGTGACAAGGGCAAGTATGAGGGAGGGCATCAGCACATCTCATCCCAGCATGGACTGGGTCTGAGGCTGGGATGCGTTCCCAGACCAGAGAGCTCCAAAATGTTAGCAGGGGTCCCCTGCTTGCCCCTAATCTCTGTGTGCTGCTGAGCAAATCCCTTAAGGTCCCAGTGCCCTGACCCTTTATGTGTAAAACGGGGACTCTGCACCTTTCTTCACCAGTCTTGTCTGTTCAGCTTGCAGACTCCTCAGCGAGAGCCTGCTTCTGCTGCTGTGTTTGAAGAGCTTACAGGAAGAAAGGACCTGATTTCATTTGGGCTGTTTTGGCACCGTCGTAATACTGTCATTAAGGCTGTTGGTAACCTTTTCAGCGTGTGCACTTTATTTTTTTTTTTAAATTATACCTGTACACAAGCAAGTGTTTTCTGAATTGTTCCTATGAATACGACAATCATTCTACCTGGAGGGTATCACCCACACTTACGTAGCCATGTGAAAATAGAAATAAATATAACCCAGAAGGTTTGTCTGCTCTTCTGAAAGGTCCTCAAGCAGACAAGATTTGCCTTGTTAATTATGTAAAGATCTAAAAATCTGGTTACTTCTAGACAGAAAAGAACAGTCAAGAGACCAGTTCTCACTCTGAGTTTCTCAGTCCCAGCTAACTCTGCTGTACCTGACAAGCAGCTCTGGACACACACTGCTGAAAATCAGAGCAGAATTTAGCCCAGCATCTACATCCTCCCCCCAGGGACCAGGATGGCAATAAACATTTTCAGCAGAGAAATCACTGCAGAGGCTTCTGGATGTTACTACTGACAGAGGGGTAATTTTTGTTTGTCTTGCTCTCAACCCTGAACACACTTGGAGATACGCTGGATAGAAGCCAACACTTGATTATTTTACAGCTTTGAACACAAGAGATTGGGTGGATACTGCCTGACTGATTTCAGCCTGTTCTTATTACAGTGCAAAAGGCTGTCAGAACAAGATGTGAAAAGCTCCAGCCTTCTTCTATTTCTGTACAGTTCAAGGGGACGTTAAGAACATCAACATTTTACTTCCTCATAATTCAATCCTTGGTTCATTTTAAGCTCAAAGGGTCTTGATTTCCCTGAAAATAAAATAAAACACCAACCGTCTATAGGGAAACTGTTGCTTTTTCCGAAAAAATAAGGACGACCTGACAGAAATATAAAGTATCTATTTTTAACACTTGACATTTTATTCACAAAGGACATACAAAAACTCCTCTAGTGGAAATAACTCTACTGAGATCTGAATCGATGATCACACTAAAATCTTAAAAAGGAAATAAAATGAGAAAAAAACCACAGTTAGGTCATCTCAACTATCCCTGCACAGTTGTAAATGCTTTGTTCAGTCCAGTTGTAAATGTCTTAAATAATGCAGTTTTCATCACTTCCCTTGGAAGATTATTCCCTAGTCTTGCTTACTTCACTGCTAGATCATATCATTTACAGTAAGCCAAAACAGTCTCTGTCTTAATCCCATACTGTTTGTCCCAGTTCTCCTCCCTCCTCACTAGTCCAAAAAAATGCAGCATATCCAAGGGGAAGAAGGAGTCACAGTACGAATAAAATCTGGACTTTTAGTGAATACAGCTAAAAGCAATACAGAACAGCTTGAATTCAGAATGATCAAAATGACCAATTTAACTTGTGTCATAAACAGCCATCTTTATTCTCTTATATATTTGCTGCTTGTTGTCTTGAAGAAAGACTGATACTTGCTGACTAGTAGCCATTACATCTTGCTGATTTACAATGAAATGTGACCTTACACGAAATTTCATATTTCTTTTTGCTGTCCAGTGGGATACGTTATATATGCATCAAAGCAAGTAGCCGTACCACATACCTTCAATCAGATTCTTAAATTTACTTTTTATTGGAGTGGAAAATGGCAAATGGTAGTCTTCATTTATTAAGCACTTTCTGATGGTTCACTTCAAGCTGGTTTTGGTTGGAATTTGGAATTCAATTGAATAGCAAAAAAATTAATTTAAAATAATTTACTATTACAGCAAACTAAAAGAAAAGCAGATAGAGAAAATAGCACAAAGCACACTTTTTGTTTAAAATTAATACATCTGTAAAACAAAACAAACCTCATCTAGCATCAAAGAATTGAAAATTAAATGATGGTTTCTGATCTCCAGAAGATCAGAAGACCTCAAAAAGGTCTTCGATGTTCCCAAGTGTGGTGCCATCACATCTGCCTTTTAGCCCTCGGGTCTTTGGAGGGACATAGTGCCTTAGGGAGTCAGATGGTGCAGAACGGGGCTCAAAACAACCAGTGTCACGAAGGAAGAGATATGCATCTTGGCCAAATCTGAAACACTTGGCCCAGGGGTGAGAGTACAGACGCCACTCCTCAGGAGAGGGTGGACCCTCTTCTCATGTCTGTGCAATGCAACCTGTACGTGCCTCATAAATTGCAGCAGACAGTAAATGGCGTGCGTGTGTGTGTGCCAGTCACACTTCCATCTTGAGAAACCCAGCTCCTGGCTTGGGTCCATCCCCAATCCTGAAATCTCCAGTCTCACCTACTTTTAACTCCAAAAATGAAAGAAGAGAACAATTTTCTGTGCTTTTTTTACCCTGTCTAGCATTTCTCAGCACTGAAGGACCTGGTCCTTATACCAAATAAAAGAAAACAAAGAAAGCTTTTTGCCTGCAGCATGGGACAGATGAGAATCCTCAGTTTTCAACACACAACAGCAAAATGTTCAGCCCGTGGCTTCTCCCAAGTTTGACTCTCTTGAAAGCTTTGGAAGAAAACCTGTAGCTTTTAAATGAATCTGAATGGTTTTAGTGTACTGTAGCAACTTCAGACCTTCCTGAAGTCTCTCATGGTTTCAAACTTAAATTCAAATTTAGATTTATTTCTAAAAAGCAAAATGTACTTAAATTACAATTTAAAGAAGCGGTTTCCTTTTTTTCATTATCAAAATTATCATATTTTTATCCACCTTGATACAAGCTTGCCCCAGAGTAAGACAAAAATTCCCTCCAGGAACAAACAGCACAAAAACCATACCAGATGGTGATGACAATTGCTGATAGTGAGGATACGCGTTATCCTATTTTCATCATATATGCATTCTTTTAATGTGGGTTTTTTTTAAACAATTAACACGCAAATATCTTGAAGATCATCAGGCCGTAAGTGTGTGAAGCGGTGATGCAAGGTGGGCTCCCTTCCCCTGCTGCCCCCTTCCCTGATCCCGGGGCTCTGGGGACGCGTGGCATCTCCCGCTGGCTACACCCTCTCCGCTGAGGCATCTCTTTGCGACGTGGCCTGGCGGCAGGAGGCAGCCCTTCCCCGAATCCACCTCCTCCCCTGGCCCTAGGTTCCATGCCTGGTTGGCAGATGGTTGGGCAGAGCTGTACCCCGTGTTGGCTCTCTCCCAGTCATGAAGCCCCCCATGAAGAACGGCAGCAGCTCAGGGGACCCCCCCTTGCAGTCCTAAGGGGAGGCAGTTAGGTCGGTACTTTGCTCCCCGTATCAAAGGCAGGCCTTGTGTGGCTTGAGCATGCACACACAAAGAGGAGGGAGCGAAGGGGAACAGTTGAGCTCGGCTGCAGCCCGCGCTGACCTATATTGGTGAGAAAAAGCTGCAGGGAGGAAAGAAGCGGAGAAAGAATCAAAAGAGATGAAACTGGATCAACTAGTTGTGTCTGGACTGGAAATACTCTCATTAGAGGGAACCAAGGGGAAAAACGCGGGCAACCCACCGCTCCCTCTAAAGCAATTAAACTGTGGGCTGCGGTATTGATAACCCGTCCAGAAAAAAAAACCCTCAAATGCTTCCAAACAGCTTTTCCGCAGATGCCAGTCAGACCTGACAGTTATGAAGAGTTTTATTGCCATGGGTCTTCTGCCTTGAAGCACACCCTTCCCCTCCCCACAAAGTGTTCAAAACAATTTCCCGCCAAGCAGGGCTTGATGATGGAGCACAGAATGTACGTGAATAAAGGTTTGTGCCAGTTTAGGGCTGACGCAGCACTTTTTGTGAGCTTTCTCTGCTCTGAAGGTAACTTCTGGGTGTTTTCATTACAGTGAGATAGGCATTGCTGAATAAATGACCACCATAATAGGGAAAAACCCCACTTTTTTAGTTCTTTTTCTTTTGCAAAATGTTTTTTGTAAAAAACCCCGCATTTTCAGACACTCGGGAAGCTCGGATGATGTATTATAGCGGCAGGAGTACATTGTTGGTTCTTCAGTTCTCGTGTTCTGCAGTAATGCGAAGAAAACGATCAATGCCTTGGCTTCTTTGACATTTTCCACAGGAAACATTGCTATGTTATTTTCTTCTTACAGGGCAGCCAAGAAGAGGAATCTGTGAGATGGCAGGTTTTCAAGTTGTGCTTGGCTGTATTTCACTCTCTCTCTCTTTGATTAATTGATTATGGATAAAACAGCTTCTGCAGCAACAAACAGTATCAAGCTCATCACAAGTTAAACAGAGAGTTATAAAAGAAAAAGCACTCACCTCTTTGCCCTGTCTTTCTCATCTTCATCCATTAGATTGTCTAAGCAGTTCTTTCTGTTGAAGGAATGCGAGAATCATTATGAAATGTCATTTTGTTAGCTCTACTTGCAGGTTAATCTCAGAGTCGCTCTATTTCATTTTAATAACAGAGTGATGATATCCAGGTCAGATAAACGTGCCAGCAGTGCTTTATGCCACAGTGCTTGATTTTAGGAAACACCCATTGTGGATAATGCTACTCCCGAGCGTCATGCTAGCCTTAGGGGCCCCAGCCAGGGATCAAGGCTCCCAGGCACAACATGGTGTGCCGGCGCAGTGCAAAACCAGTTACTCCTTGGGGGATGTTTTCGTGTGGAGGTTACTCTCTGCAAACTTGCAGGCTGGATGAACTCTGGGGTCTGCCCAAGTGGAAGAGGCATTTTCAGCCCCGCCCCGTTCCCCCGGAAAACATCCCCAGTGCAAGAGCTGGTATCACCAATGCCTCTGACTCCTCAGGTGGAGCATCGTACTGGGAGGCTCTTCATCCTCCTCTGTGGCCCCTGACCCGAAGCCAAAAGACACAGTAATAACTTTACTGACTTACACCTCAAATTCAAAGTATCCTCACAAATCCCACTGCCTACGCTGCACTCTAAAAACACCCTCCCCCGGCCCAGACAGACCGTGAGCACGGGGACCATGTCATCCCCATCACTCTTTTTTGCTAATCTTCACCGAAATGCTGTGACCTGCCATCAGGTTTAGACTCCAGTTGCTCCAGCAGTATGAGCTGTAAGGAGAAAGTACTCTGATCACAAGATGTGTTCATAAAGCCACAGAGTAAAAGGGAGTAAATTGGGTAAATTAAGTATAAATTTGTTTAGGCAAGGTGAAGGGAAAAATACAAGAGCAGCCCAACTGAAGCCTGAGCTCTTCAGAAATACTTGTCGACAGCTCACTGCCCACCCTCCTTTGCTCCGTGGCCTTCTGAGAAAGGGGTGCTTGAGCTGTAGCCACTTCAGCCCGAGGAGGAAGCCCTGTGCTGCCTGCAGCCTCTCACAGCATCTCAGGTCCATGTCAGAGCACAACAGCCGCATGCTGCTGCATCCCACACAAATGTTTTCCGAACCGGCAGCACAATGCCGCTACAAACCCTGGATATTGTCAAAGCGTGATTTTCAAAGCAGCAGTGTAATGACAGGCAATGATAACACTTGCTTTCAAAATCAATGTTTCTCATTTAATGAGTCCTCAACATGTAAGAGGTGAATAAAATTGGAGGGGGGGGGGTGGAGAAGGGAAGTCAATTGCTATGCATTATTTAAGCCCATGGTATTTTCCACAGATGAGTCACACAGAAATACGCCTGTTTAAAGAACATTTTATGAAAAAACAGGAGTGAAAACTTATTGATAGTAAGAACAGTGGATAAACTCCCTCCTTCTGCTACTAGTTCTCTTACAGCAATATTCCACCTGCTCATTACTCAATAGTTCACTCAGAACATGAAACTACCCTGCAATTTTTTATCAAATATAAGACTAATGAGGAATTAAAGCCATGGGTCACTGATTGGAAAGGAAAGCTACTACTTCATGCCATTCAGCTCATTGATGGATGAGCATAAATAGGAAATATGAAAGCCGAGGGATTGACTTTGTTGCTTGCAAAACAGCCATCAGCCATAACACAATCCATATTTTAGACTAGGAAAATTTATAGAGCCAGTTAAATTTTATTTACCAGTATTTTACAAATACTTTAGGTGGTTATTCACCCACTCCCAGAATCAGGCTACTAGCGCAACAAGTGTGTCTTGAAATAATTCAGGCTAAAATCTAGTGAGCAAATGCAGTGTTTTTTTAATTGTTATTTGCTCACATTACAACCAAAATGTTCAGCTATGTTATTCAAGAATAAAGAAGGCTTCAGTAATATGGTAAGTGTTGGCATTTAGGATTTTGCTGTCTTTCTTTGCTAGACCTTTGCTCAAAACGCTCTGTTGCGTGCACCCTTTTTGAATCTAGGATAGGACAAGCGAAATGGGGCAGTGTCAGCAGAAGAATTCACTTTCCCTGAACCCTTGAAGATCTTCCTCTGCTGCACCAAGGTCTCCTCTGGCTGTAACAGATTCACAGGAGAAAGCAGAGGCACAGGGATGAGAGCTCTGGGTGGCTCTGAGGAAGGATGGGGGTGGATGGGGCAGTCACCATCAGCGCTGCTTAGCCCCAGCTTTTTTTGGGAGGCAGAACATACCTAATGGAAAGGGGCTTTCTACAGCTGTACTCTATAAACCATCAAGGAATTACACTGCCAGGAAGCCTCTACCCTTATAAGAGAGCAACAGGTCTAACTGGTCTGTTCAGCCAAGGATTTGGCTAGATCTGTAGAGCAATTCATGGCCAGCTTCCAGTAAACAAGGTTTCTCACTGACTGACATGAAATTCTGGACCTGCTGTGCTGTTGCTAGTGTTAGACAATATCTGATTGTCATTTTGCTTCTCTTTGCTCACACAGCAAAATCTCCAGAGCATCGTAAGCATTGCTAACAGCGTTTGCCAGTACACATGTACCATATGAAATTAAAACTGTTCTCAATAAAATAGATATGGCAAAGTACACAACTGCTGCAAACCGTTACTGCCATCCCTCTCCTGAGTCACACCAGATGCTGGCTTACACCTGGAGGAGAAATCCACCCCACAGAGCTTAGGTATGTGCTTAGTGCAACCTGTTTGCTTTACGTTAGCCTCTCAGTCCTTCAGCTGTGAGGGTTCCAAATAGCAAACTGGAAATCTACTCTTTCTTCCTCGCCAGTGCCTGGTTTAGGAGGCAACTCTGACTCACTGCAATGACAGAGGCAGGCAGTAATTGCCATCGCTCTGTGCCGTGGTTCCCCTGCAAAGACATGACACAAAAAACAAGTAGTACACGGATTTCTCAAAATTTGAACAATCTTTTCATGCTAACAGAGAGAATTTGGAAACCTATGGGTAACAACAACATGATGCAACTCCTGCAAATGGAGTATTTAACACTGACAGTTACATTCGGAGCTTCATTAATATCATCATTATCAACAAGAAGTGAAGAAGCTACCACTCAAAAAGATGGGAACCACCTGCAATAAGGAGGAGAAAGCTCACGTACTCCTATCATGATGGTACTCAGACAGATACAGTGAAAGACGCATACCCACAAGCAGGGGAGACTGGCATTTTGGAAATAAAAGACTGGCCAAAATTGTTAACCGTGTACCCTCGGCTTTGTTATCAGATGGAGAATTACAGCTCAAACATCCCCCCCACATTCATTCATACAACGAATAGTTGCTCGGGAAAGAAGTAATTCAGGCAGAGTGCCAGCTCGCTCCAGGGAATCTCCAGAAGAAAGGTTGCACATGTTTATTTTGATACATTCTACTCCCAGTGGACGCAGGGCTTGCAGTATAAAATTCATCTGGCACTGATCACCTTATCCTGCACTGGAAACATGTTTTTTAGTAAGTTAAACTGCTGCTGTTCCGTGTGGGTGAGGTTGGTTTCTCTCCTTCCTGCCCTACTGCTCATAAGGATATGCTATAAAATGACTGACACTCACAGGTAAGTACTCAGCTGTTGATTTCCCAGTAAGTTGCCATGTGGCCAGCTAATCTCAGTTCCTACAAATCAGCCCAACATTTTACAAGAATTTTTAGTCATATTCGTTTCACTCAGCTGAAATAAATCAGAGACGTACATCTCCATTAGAGGTCCTGGGATGTGCCTCAGGAAGCCTGGTGAGAAATCACAGTGCTTGTGCTCCACTGCCCCTAAGTTGGGCATCTGTGGAGAAAGACTGGGCTTCTCCTCTCCTCCTCTTCCCTCCACGGCATGGTGGGGTGTTTGCCTCCACCACCCCACAGGCCTGCTTGGGCTGTTCAGCCACTTGTCCTGTGTAGGGTGTGCTCAGCCCTGGGGAGAGGGGTGCTGCCCGCCATACCCTGATGTTGCTCCCCACCCACTACAGCTATACCTGAGCCCTTCCTCACACCTCACCATCAGGCCACTTAGGATGCTGGTACAACACCACCATCCTAAGCAAAGATGATGTTCTAGCACTTGGAGAACAATCGTCTCACAGACAGGGGATAGGCAAGGGAAAATTGGCACACCAGGAAGAAGCATCTTGAACTACCTTCTGGCCTCTGGGCAGACCCTCCCCAACAACAGTTATCTTTGTGAAGAGGGAAGAAAAAGAGCAATAGTGTGGAGGGAAGACATGCCCCCCCGTGCCTTCCAGACACATTGCTGAGCCTCCAGGGCCCATCTCTGCCGAGCATCTTCTGCAAGACGCCAAGCACTGCCTCAGCAGGGAGTTACTCTCCAGCTCCCTCTTTGAAAGAGAGGAAAGAGGCTGTTAGTGGAGAGCTCGGCGCTATAAAGGAGACATGTGGGTATGTTCGGTGGTTCAGGATTCAAAAGCCAGATCCACCCACGCACGGCATCCCATGCATAGTGAGTAGGATCCAAGACATGGGAAGAAGGCACTGAAGGGGAGTACAGCCTGTGGGCATGAGGCAGGGGGGACAGCTTCTGGCCACCCACTAGCACAGGGGACAGTGTGGCTGGGTTGCTGTGCTGGCACGTCTGCCAGTTCCCCTGCCCGGGGACGATGGACAAAGTCTGATGGACACTGCAGTGGGGCAACGGTGTTGTCTCATGGGTGCTGCACAGTGTGGGTTAGATGGGCACTTGCCCACACTGGGGACCACCACTGTGGCTTGGCAGTAGCAGCTGCATCCCCTTCTTCTCAGCTGAGGCAGAGCTCTGAAATGAAGTAAACCACACTAAAAAGTAAAGTATTTCCCTTCCAAGCCTTGCTGTGGGGGCAAAGAGAAAGATGAGCAACTGGGAAGCGGCAGGAAAGGTCACAGGGTGACAGGCAAGAAGTGACCATCTGAACATGTTAAACGCCTTGTTCCATGTTTCCCTGGGGATGAAGCACTCGGATATCCCACCATGAGGGCTATGGCATGAACACAAAGCAGAAGAATTTGTATAAACACAAATCA